GCATTGCATAAATAAATAAAATAATATTTTAAATTAAAGAAACAAGAAGAGGAAACAATTGCGTCAAAAAAACAGAACGTCGAGGAAAGTATAAAAAATTTAAAAGATCGCATAGAGCAGGCACGAACAATCTATTTGGTTTGTTGACTTCATAACTTTTACTTTAACGTAAAATAATATTTTGCTCTTATAGAAAAAGAAACGCGATAAGGCAGATTACGATAAAGACTTGCAAGAAGAAACTAAAATGTTGAGTTTGCTTCTGCAAGATTTAACTAAAGCAAATGAAAATAATGCTGAAAAAGACTGGAAAGCTGAATTGAATGCACTAGCCCAACAATTACATAATATGAAAGAAGAATTAGGACAACATATGAAAATGCGTTTGGAAATTAACAGCGAATTAGACGAGAAATATGGACCCGAAATTGGTTCTATAAAGAGACGATTAGAGCGAGCAAATGACGTACATGCCCAGAAGTTAGAGGTAAAAAGCGCCACACTCGTATTTTATTTGTTTACATAGCATTTTAAATTCCAACAAACTTTAAAACATTTTAACTATTAGAAACCTAAGAGGAAATTAAGAGAAAAATTCTTATTTTCGCAGTTATTACAAGCAAAATTTCCAGATGTTTATCGAGCAGTGCAATGGTTAACCGATCATCAGCACTTGTTTAGAGGCACTGTTTACAAACCAATGATTTTAGAGGTAAACAAGCAGTATATATTATAAATAAAATTTAAATGAGTTTTTTTTAGTTAAGCGTGCTAGATCCCGAGCATGCCAAATATTTCGAAAACGTAATCAGCATAAGAGATCTACTTGCTTTCACTTGCGAGGACAAAGATGACGTTTCATTGCTTGTAAGTGAGTTATGCGTCAAACAGAAACTTCATATTAATGTTGGGCATGCGCCAGCTTCTAATAGAAGAAACTATCGCCCTGATATACCAATCGAGAGCATAAGGTGCGATTAAATGACGAAACAAATGCGTACTTGATTAATTTTTGTTAAATTTAATTTTTCTTTTTTTAATTATTTTACTTTTATTTCTTCTAATTTTACTTAAATAGATTTTGCGGGTTTACTGCATATTTAATTGACTTGATTGAAGGCCCACCAGCAATAATTAACTACTTATGCAGTCTAAATAGAATACATACGATACCAATTGGCACAGCTGATGTTAATAATAGAACTGATGACATTCCAGACAACATAAATATCTTCTTTGGCGGTAAAATACCTCAAACAAATATTACAAATTTAATATATATTCTTAATAATTGCTATTAATTTTGTATATTAGGTAATCAAAGTTATGCTGTCAGAGTTTCTCGCTATTCCGGTGAAAAATCCATTATGCAAAGGCAAATTAGCGGAAGAAACCTATTGACCAGTAAAAATACAAATGAAATTTTACAAAATGAGGCACGGTAAGCAGTTCAAAATTTGATATAATATACTATTAGCAAGAATTATATATATAGACAAATTTTCCAAAATATGTAGCTTACGTGAATTAATACGTGGCAGCGATGTGCTGAAGAACAAACGTACGGCTTTGGAAGCGAAAATCGAAGAAATAAAGATTAAACGCGAAGATATACTGGCCAAAATTCGGACAATCAAGAGCAAACTGGAGGAGAGACCCAAATTAGAGGAGCAGTGTCGGCGACAAAATGACAAAGTGAAACAACTGAAAAACAACGTCATCAGTGCGTGAACGCCCTTAATTCAATAACAAAATAAAAAAATATATTGTTTATGTATTGTAGGCTTACCCGAATTGGAGCAAGAATTCACACAGAAAGTGAAAAATTGTTTACAGCAAATCATGCAGTTACAAAATGAAAAAATTCAGATTTTAAAAAAGTTGCAACAGATTTTGGTTGATAAAAAAGTCGCCGTTGTGAAAGAACGCATATTTAAGCAAGAAAATGAAGAGTTGATTAACAACATAAAGGAAGCCAAAGATAATCAGGTTCAGGCGATGGTAATTTGCATGTTCTTATAACTATGGTTTGTTATGTAAGACTGTAATTTCATTTACGTTTTTTGATTAGCGCATGGTCGAAACCGTAACACGAGCATTAGAGAAGACTCAACAGCAATTGGAAACAAAAGTTGCAGAGGCTAGAAAAGCTAAAAAAGACTGCAAATCACTCGAGCTCTTCAATCTGCTGCCAGATACTATGGACGAATTGAAGGAAGCCATAAATGAATATAAAGCACGTTTAGAGTGCATGGGAGATGTGGATCAGAATGTACATACTCCGACATTATAGTTTACTTCATTTATGTGAATATAAGTATATGTATATATATATAAATATTTTCTTTTACAATTAGATCGCGGCTGAATTCAGGCAGAAATGTGCTGATATTGAAAGACTTAAGAATGAAATGCAGAATGCCGAACATAATCGCCACGGCCTGGCTGCGCAGATAAATACACTGCATGAGCGTTGGTATCCCGAAATCGAAAACATTGTGGTGACGCTTAATAAACATTTCAGTGATTTTATGACTTCTATGAATTACGTGGGTGAAGTGCAGCTGCTCAGGCGCGATGAGGTACATACATAAACATTCACATTGAATTTTTAAGCTCTTTCCCTAATAATTTCGTTTTTCAGCACGATTACGATACGTACGGCATACAAATCATGGTACAGTATCGTAGTAACGCGCAATTGCAGGCGCTAGATCGGCACACTCAGTCTGGCGGCGAGCGCGCAGTTGCGATTGCGACCTACACTCTTTCACTTCAGCACATTACACACGTTCCTTTCCGGTAAAACTGCTGCTGCCTTTATGAAAATGCTTGCAACTATTTACCGGTTTTTATTATCATTACAGCTGTGTGGATGAAATCAATCAAGGCATGGACGCTAACAATGAGCGAAAGATATTTGAAATGCTTGTGAAGGAAACAACGCAAGTTGGACGTGCACAATATTTTTTCGTTACCCCAAAGGTATGTACATTTGTGTTTTTTCTGTGAGTGCTTGCTCTCTATATGCCTAATGTTCGAATTTGTTTCAGCTTTTGCCGAACCTGATGTATAACGAACGCATGTCGGTGCACATAGTATTCAATAGCAAAATGGTAGAATCTAAAAACACCTTTGCATTCCAAATATAATGTATTCGATTTTATTAATATTTTTTTATACTCATTATTTAGTATTGTTAATTCTTAAAAACAAATATATGATTCAAAAAAGAAAATCGTTATTGCCTAAATCTACTTTTTGTTGATGTTAGTTTTAGAGGTCAATCACCTTTCACAGGGGAATTTCTCTTATGATAGAAAGGGTAAGACAGAATCTTTATTTTGATATATTTTCCTACATTTAACCAAGTCCAACAATCTTTGTTAACAATTGAAGGATTGACTGTTTTGTTAGCATTTTATGGAGTCAATGACCCCGTTGTTTACATTTTGGCAAGGTCATTGACCCCGTTGTTTACATATTGCCAAGGTTATTGACCTGTTTGTTTACATTTAGCAAAGTCCACAACCATTGTTTACACGTAGACATTTATCTTTACATTTTATGTGGTCAATGACCCCTTTGTTTACATTTGGGGTCATTAACCTTTTTGCTTATATTTTATGGGGTCAGTGACCCCCCTGTTTACATTTGAGGTCAATGTCCTTTTGTTTACATTTTATGAGGTCATTGTCCTTTTTGTTTACATTTTGCAAAGTTCACAACCATTCTTTACATTTAGCCGAGAGCACAACCCTTGTTTACATTTCTGTCATTGACCCTTTTGTTTACATTTTATGGGGTCAATTAACCCTTTTTTTGTGGTATTGACCTTTTTGTTTACATTTGTCAAAGTTCACAACCACTACTTACATTTAGACAAGACTTTCTTTGCATTTGGGTTCAATGACGCAAAGCCTTCTGATTCAGATCATTCAGTTTGCATGGGCTAATGCACAAATGACGAGCTTCTCGATGAAAAACTGCGGTATGCAAAGTTTCATATCGATATCTTAAAAACTGAAGAACTAGTTCGCATATACGAGGAATGTTCAGAAAATAACGGAACTTTTAAATCACGTTTTTGAAAAGCCGAATTGTTAAATTCCTTTTTACTATCGTCTGCCGAGTATGGGGGCATTCAGCAGCGTTGTCAATTAAATCAGAAAAGAGTTCTAGCGAGCTCGTGAAAACTTAATAATCCTAACCCAATTACGTTCTTAGTAATCTGTACTCGCCACACTGAACACTTTTTCTGCATTCAACGAGAGCCATAAATAGAAATCACACCATTACATACCTTACCATACTCTTAAATAAGAAGTTACTTAAAGACTTTGTTATAAGAGTTATAAGCCATGATTCCAATGCCAGATGATGTATGCTGATGGTAAAGAACTCACTCTAAAATATTACTTACAGCACTTACATATTTGAGGCGCAGTTAGTCTGAAGAATTAACGGCCATTTTGCTTTAAACAGCACACATGTATACATACATATATGTACGAGTATGGTATATAGATACAAGTATATTTAGAAAAACTGAGGCACGCCAGGATCTCGTACTTACTATAAGTCTTAACATTTAATATAGTAATATAACTACATTGGGGTTGCGAGCAAACCGAAATCCTTTCGCTGATTTGCATGCAGCACCGCAAATGGGGGGTCGGAGTAGCTATAGCAACCTCGTTCTATATCTATGTAAACAAAACTCGAATACTGTGCCTCCTTTGAATTATCATATTGCTGGCGACTGGCGACTTCCACATGCCAACGAAGTGATGTTAAACACGCACTCACCTTGCGGTTTCCCTTGTCACCCTCATTGTCCTTATGAAAGTGCTTTATGTGCTTGGGGTTAGTGCAAAGCTTTCCGGCATTCAAATTACGGATATTTAGTTAGCATTTTGCCATCGCTCGTATAAAGTGACAATTATTGTAGTTTGAAAAGTCAGAATATTCTAATTTGTAAACAAGAAAGTACTGTTCTTGCAGTAAATCAGTAAAATTTAAATAAAATGTGGCTTTTTGTAAAACAGTGCTTCCTTTGCGTAAACCTGTTCTTCCCAGTGTTGGCAGTTTTCGCTTCTGGACACGGAAACGCCCAGACCACATTACTATTAGCCAATTCAAGTCACACCACATACAGTTTCCATCAAATGAGGGAGTGTAAACATGATGAGTTTTATGATTTGGACACATTTTCATGTATGGCCTGCGGCAAGGAGGACAAAGACTTGCAATCAACGCCAGATAGTAAGTATTGATTAAACAGATGCAAATGCAAAACTCACTACCCTAGGATATGGGGTTTATTTTTAAAATGTTTATACATGTGCAGCGCGCTGTATTCACACTTACATACATACGTTCCTTATGTATTTATGTCAGCTCACATGTGCTTCCCCTGCGCTCAACTCTACTGTTTTACTTTAGAACTATGCTGAACCGCTAATTCGCTGACGGTTTTCTTTCAAGGAACTGTTATTTTTCAACAGTATGTTGATGTACAACGAGTCGTCAATCGTTGGATTTGATACTTAAGTCTGCCCAGTCCCATACCAGTGCAAAAACGAATGTAAAACAGATCTAGGTGGTTCGCGCACCAACTATTTAAAAATTGGTAACAGCTTTTCGATCTAGCTTGATGTCTAGTTGTAAACTAATATATTTATTAAAAAGTTTGGTGTTTTCTTTTGGGCATTACAAGCGTAAGTCGATCTGCACGGGCATGACTCTATGCACTCGGTCCTTTTATTGGATGCGTGAGTGCCCTTGCTTCTGTTGTCCACCCTTGGGTATTCAGTTGAAGATCTTGCAGGGAACGGATAACGTGAATACTTTAAGTGCATTTTCATCTCAGTTCGTCGTCATCTATGTTTCTTCTGCTTTATTGACGTAGACAACGCTTACGCGGTTATAGCCGAGTTTACAACAGCACGTTAGTCGTTCTGCCTTTTCGCTGTTTGGCGCCAATTGGAAATTCCAAGTGTAGCCAGGTCCTTCTCCATCTAATCTCATCAACGGAGTGGAGATCTTTTTCTCCCTTTATTCCCCCGGCGACAATTGCGTCGAATACTCTCACAGCTGGAGTTTTTTCATCCATGCGAACGACTTGATCTAGCCAGCACAGCCGCTATCTCTTAATTCACTGTTTCTGGGTCGGCAGTGATAAAGAGTTCTATGAGCATATTTTTCGTTCGTGGAGAGCGGAATAAATTGTCGACCAATCGCGAAGCACAATAGCAGGCCACTAAGCTTTCACTTGTTGTTCTGTGCGGAAAAAGGCTGCGTTGACGGTTCTGTTACTAAAGCCAATGAGATCATTGTCATTACGTCAAGGTCATCTGCGTACCAAGGTAAAATGGTTCTTTTGGAGTGGTAGTAGCACTGCTTTCAGATTTTTTAACATTATATTGGAAAAAGTGCAAGAAAGGAAATTATCCTGTCTAAAATGCCGTCTGGTATCGAACGCTCCACTGCTGGATACCAGCTTATATCAGACCCACATCAACTTCGTCTTAATTAGCGTTGCAGAAGACTACACGCGTCTACGACGTCACAAATGAACGCAATTCTAAGACAAAATGAAAGTCCTCTTTTGTTTGGATTTTCCATGATAGGGGAGCTATATCCTGTAAAATAACCTATAAAATATTCACAACATCTTATTTCTCTCAAAGCTAACACATCTTCTGGATAATTCTGTACTAGAAACTGTTCCTATATACATATATCTAGGTTTTTTGGACCAGGTTAAATCCGGCCAGTGTCAGTCCATGACGCTAAGAAGCCAGATTTTGCCGACGGTGGAACCAAAGTTTTATTTTTTCATAAATTATTGTTCAAGTCACCTAGTATGATTGTGGCATTGTCATTGGTACAACGTTTCTATTGTTGTGGACTCCATGCGTTCATAGAAAAAATCTGTAGTTCTGCCGTTTCAAAGGTCTAAATGACATACCCAATATCCATTTCTCTAACTTTCACCATTAATAAAAAGAACAACTATTACTAATTTCAGAGTTCTCCTGCGAGTGCGTTGCCAATTATGTCACTATTGCGCTCTACGACACGCAACACCACAATCCGTTATGCGCAGAGAAGTGCTCAGACATATTATCCACCCACAAAGGTTGTCAAGTTGTAACCGCTAATAGCAGTAAAACACATTGTGAATTTAAATTAGTTAACTTTACTGATCCCAACAACGACTTCACGCCACGATCGGTTGCTTCAACGAGGCCAATCCGCTTAACACCTGCCGGCATGCACGCGAATGGTATTTGCAATATTTGCGATTTGAAATATAACTACCGTTATCTGGACTACTGCATTGCGAATGCGGTGCTCAAGCCATATTTGAAATACAACTCTTTTTGGCAATCGACCAGCGCTAACGCCGTACACTTTGGCGACCTAAAGTTCGTGGTCTTCTTCTGTTTGGCTCTACGCAATAACACTGCCTGCAGCCAGCTGGCGAATCTCTGTATAATGTCGCACTACTCGTCGGATAAGAATTCACCTTGCAGTGCGTTTCTGCTAACACAAGTCTCCGATGTGGCCGTCAAGTATGCCAGCATGGACGAGCACTTGCAGGCGACGAAGCCATCGTTGTTCTACAAAAAAGGCAAAGAGACCGCCAAAATGCTAACGGAGCCGCTGGGCGTAAGTGTGAGTATCCATACTGCTGCATTTTCACTCGTTACTCTCCAGTGATTCAGAAACATAACCACGAGTACATAAACCCATGTGTATAAACTGCATTTCTTGTTTCAGCCGAAGCAGCTGCAACTTTTCAGCACTGCTTATCATTTGGACGGCAGCTTGCGTCGCTGGGGTGCATTCAAAATGAGTCATGTGAATTTATGCCAAATGCATGCTCAAAGCGATGCCGCCGATTGGAAACCGCAACAGGAAATACAATTTGCACGCTTCAGCAAACCGATTCGCTGCGAATTGACTGTGGAGAATCTGATTGATTTGGCTAAAATATACGCGAATAATAACTTTTTGGGTTTATTTTTGAATATATCGCGTGAAACGAGTTCCGTTGTAAAAAGTGTTAGTTTGGAAGCGTTGCCGATTTTAATTGAGGACGTAGCACCTGAAAATTTGGTAAGTGTGAAAAATTTATAAATATTTGTATGAGGGCAAATTTAAAATCAAATGAAATGGAGGGTAAAGAGTAGAGTGGAAATCCGGTATGCCTTTGAAAAATGTTCGGAAACCGCTATATGACTTGCTGGATCTTTCGTCTTCCGTTGGAACTGTGCCTTTATTTTCGATCGTGGGATTCTGCATCTTTCGCAATAAATATAATTTCGCCCAATTTTGTTGCGCTTTCGCCCAATTTTGTTGCGCTTTCTTCTTCAACTAGTACTGCTTAAGCATGAGTCGACTATAACACTTAAAACATCACAAGATGGTATATGAGATTGTACGAAATCCTCTGTATGTCACCGTATACTCTCATCCAAGTGGAAGAGTTTCTTCCTTCAACACACAGTCTTCTAAAAAGAAGCTAAGCCTATTATAAATCAAGACATTAGGCAGAAAAGAGTACAGATATCCATACAACGCACCGTTGAAATCAAAGCTAGCCTACGGAGACTATAAGACGGGTTAAAAACTTCGAAGAGTGTGCTGTAGACCACTTCTTACAATACTCTATTTTCGCTGTTATAACGGTACTATGAATCCTTCTTCTTTACAGCGCGCTGCAGCGGCAGAGTGGCAATTGGTAAAACGTTTCCAGCTTATCGAAGCCCAACCCCGACATGCCCGAATCCATGATCAGCAGTCGAAGTATGAAGACGACTTTAAGCTCTCGCTATACCGCAGCATAAGATATGTGGAGTCCTTCGAAATGCATTACGAAATTCATGATCGCAATCAGATCGGTATACCGCTAGTGAAGCTGCGCTATCGGCATGTTGACTTGAGCGCCAATGCAACACTGAATGCTGTGCATCCATTTAAATTGCAAATCACTTTCGAGCGCATCGGAGAGGCCACACAAAGGAAGTTCATGTTTGAAGTGATGCTGCCGGCCCTCTTATTCATCGCATTAACGATGGCTATGCTGCAAATGCTTAACTATAGGAAACGCCATAACGCACTAACAACAACAACAGCTGCGACAACTGAATGCTGCACACCATCCTCTTGTTTGCTGGAATTCCTGTTGCACTTCAGCTCTTACGCAGCTAATGCAGCACTGTTGAGCTTTGTACTCTACATTCTCGTCTATCCAGTGCAATTTCTCACACAGCGCTCCGTTGCGATCACATTGCCAATCATGAAAGACGATCAACGCTCATTGCAAATTCTAATTTATGCAGCCGTTCTTTTGAAGGTAATACGCTCGAGTGCTTCTTACTTGCAATTGAGACTGTGATTCATTAGGTCTATTTTATTTCAAGTTGACATTTATTTGCGTGCATTTTTGGCGAATCAGTCACTTTGATCTGTTTCTCATTGACTGGGAGCGTCCGCGTAGTTGTGAGGCTAATCACTTCACTTTGAAGAATAATCTGGAGACGTCATCCGTGTGCTCTAGTGTGCGCACATTTGCCACTGAGAATATTTCGACGTGGCGCATAATTTTCATAGCAAATGAATGGATACGTTTGAGTGCGAAACAGAAACATTCCACAGCCTGGCAGGGTCTATTGGTACTACCATTGGTTCAGGTTGTTGCTTGTCATATATTTATGCTTATAAGGGTGTCTTAAATGCATTTGAATTCGTATTTTTCCTTTGCAGGTTTTCTTGACAGCTCGTTGGATCAGTCAAGACCTAGCTCTACAGTTGTTCTTCATTGTTTCTATCAGCCTATTGATCTACAGTATGCAGTTGCTAGTGTGCAGTTTTGTCTTTAACCGACTTTTTGGTGATCCTCTGCAAAAATTCATCGATCTCTGTTCGCTGTCTAATATATCTGTTTTCATGCTATTGGAGCAAAGCTTCGGGTTCTATATACATGGCAGATCTCCTAATGGTTTTGCGGATACTGATATGTATTCGATGCTGGCTCAGATGCATCGAAACTCGCAGCATCGCTGCAGTCGCAAAGGTTTATTGGGCGATTCGGATCAGCAGAGTTATATAATTTTGCCGCCTTTGAATTTACGGTAAGTCCTGTATGAATTCTTTTGTAAAGGATAAGGATGAACCAATTCGAAGTTCCCTACTTCCTACTTTGACTGGCAACCGGCGAATGACACGCGTGATATTTTGCTCCAAAGTTTGTATCGAAGTCCGCATAGACTTTAGACTTTACATATCCCCACAAGAAAAAGTCTAACGATGTGATATCACACTATCTTGGTGGCTAATCGATCGTCCCCAAAACGTAAAACCACGATACCGGTCGACACTGACGGTTACGTTCTCATCGTCATTGTTTTTGAAGAAATATAGACCGATGATTTCATCTTCTTGAAACTTTTCAAGAGTCCATAGAGCGAAGCGCGGTCACTTAGGAACGTCGAGCGACTTTAGTTCTTGTACAAACTGTATTGTCCGTACGTCAGTCCGAGTTGCTGCGAACGGTACCAAATCGACCCCCCCACTCACTCTCTCTCAGCTACGGCTGTTATATTTTCTTCACTGCGTGCTGGTCTATTTGGTAGAATATTATCCAATAATGAATGCTGGGTGTCAGGATGGGTGATAGTGTTTTGCGGATAGTACGTTCAGTGTGCCGATTATGTTCTCAAGAAAGGCTATTGAGACAAATACCTTTACGGATGATCCAACGTTATAAATAATTTCTCATTTTTTCGGTATTATTTTTTGACAGAATTTACTTTGAGAAGTTGTTGGCGCCTTATCAACGCTCCTATAGCATATCCCAAGCACATTTCCAGAAAGAAATCAACACGATCGATGCGGCAATGGAACGCAGCGCAGCGACTTTCAATAATCTAAATCGATTTCTGTGCGCTTTCATAGATCACGTAAGTATAAGGTTATTGAAAATATTGCAAATAACGGTAGCAAAAGCTTTCGTACCATTGTAAACCACAATGGGTTGTGCTTTCATTGCTTACAGGCTATCAAGGATATGGATTATATAATAAAGGAGAAAACTTTCATTGAGAAACTATTAAACTGCGAATGTGATAATTATTTAACGGAAAGTAAGTGCATCAGTTAACGGTACATATTTAAAGAAAATAACAGAGAGGGCTATATCGCGTTCTTTAAACACCAAAGAAATTTTTCAAAAAATTATTAATTTAATTTTTTTTCTTCTTTTTGATTTTCATTTTCGAATTTTCAGACAAGGGCACATTCTATATCGATAATGCAAAATCGTTTGACCAATTACTGCTATACGGCAACAGTTTAAATATCTTCATAATGGAATTGGCCTCGCTTCTAGCGCTTTATATGCTGACAAATAATTTAATAGCAGCTGTGGCAATCGTTTATATACTCAATAAGGTGTGTATATCTGAAAATATATACACGTGACCGCACAGAACTATGTACAGTTGCAAAGGAAAACGTCCAAAAAGTCCTACAAAAAGATTGTTTGGAATATTAAAGTTTAAAAAATTTATGTTGTTATTGTGACTCCAGTAGAAAATATTACGTGAATGTTATTGTGGCACGCTTCTGGTGCGCAAAAATCTTTTCGTAGTTATAAATGCGAATCTTACGAAGTTACTCAAGCCCACGCTAAAGACAGGAGCGCCAAATAAGCCGTTGCCTGACGCTGTTTGTCATAGTTTACCTATTTCATAAACACAGATATTTTATGTATGTATTACTTTTTTTACAGCTGCTCCAACATATCTACACAAATTGGCTACGCCAAAATGTAACAACGAAGACTTCCATTGATCAACGCTTTCTAATGTAAAGAAAATGGTGCTTTGCGACAAAATGACTTTAAAAAACGCAACTTTAGCAGAAATATCATTAAAATATTTATATTTTGCTGGAACCTAACGAATTCGCGAAAATAGTCAAACTCCAGTTATTGTTTTACATTAAATATTCAGTTGTTTATTAATTCATATGCTTTTGCTTAGAAATAGTGCAGTAGACATTAGAGTTCATAACATATCTCACATGCATACGCACACAGACATATGCATGCACATGTATTGCCTAAACTAGAGCACCATCTGCTCATCATGGTAATCAACACTTCGCTCACATTAGCATTACTACTTTGCCAATGTTTATAAATTATAGGTAAACCTATCTCTACGATAAAATCTACATAGTTTAGTTTGTCAACTGCACAAATACATTCACATGCATTTATACATACATATCGCATGTGTGTGTATGTGTTTTTGAAGTAAGGTGCTAGAGAATGCTTATATAAAATCATTATGTAAATGTACATAATAAATTTGCATAGGTATGTATGTATGTATGTATGTATGTGCTCATGCAATTGCGACGAACTGAAGTTGCTACAAATTGCTGCACACAAATTAATAAGCCTTCCATTAGCTTGTCTCATAATTTGACAGCAATTTTGTACATTGTACATTGTAAAGGTCTTCCCTTCGGACATTACATGTTTGTGTATGTGTGCTTAATTATGCATATTCAGTATTTGATCGTGTTGTGTTTATTAGTGAGTGTAAACTATAGTCTTAAATAGCAAAAACAAAAGTAATAGTAATAATAATAATAATAATAATAATAATAATAATAATAATGAGAAAATTACTGGCATGTACAATTTGCATAAAATATTAAATAAAATTCTTAAATAACACGCATTTGAGTTTCACTGCTATTTAATTTCTATTATATTTTAGTATGCGTTCTTGTGTCTATATAGTGGTCATGATGAACTGGACAGCAGTTATGTATAGCTATGTATACTAAATATATCAAAATCGAAAATAAAGTCTGAGTGGAAATTAAAATACTATATTATATTATGTTAAATACTTTGTTTGTAGCAATATTGTGGTTCTACTTTAACTTGGTTATTTGGAGTAGTTTACCAAACTTGTGCCTTAAGCTAACTTGTTTACATGTTAAATACTTTGTATGAGGAGTTTAATTACAATAATTCTACGCTATGCTTTTATTTATATTTATAATTTATATAATTTGTGGCTTTGCACTGCCATAGTCTATTTAGTATATTTGCAATTGCAGAAATAAAGATTTAGGCTCGTATAAATATAGCGCAAGAATTTGCACGTGCGCAATGCAGACAAAAATCAGTTTTACTATTTGTATATATAATTATAAGCACTGAAATGTTCTTGTCAGCGATCTTTGCAAAAGTTTTCCATACATTTTCTATTTCGGTCTTCTAATGTTTTAATTTATCACAAACTTACGATTTATCGAAAAGCTGCCAAATAAGGTTTCTGGCTTTATGTATATAAGTGCAATGAAAATGCGTTATGACAAACTGCAAAAATAATATATGACGAGGTTAGAAATGTCATGAGAAACATCCGCTGCATAAACAGTTAGGTATTAGGTTTTCAAACACATTTTAAGTGCTAATTTGCTTAAAAATTTCTTTGATAGTAGCGATATGGTTGAAAAATTGGTCTGCCTCAATGTCATGTGTAATACTTAAGTTACAAATCAAATGATGTGCAGGGAATTGGACTTTGCTAAAACTATGGTCCATTATGTTTCTTATGTAAACCTTGCGCAGCGACGTCATGTTGCCCGTTTTAGTACCTAATTTTAATAAGTGCTGGTAATTTAGTCTCCTGCGGTAATTAAACAATTGTCTTTTTTACAATTTTGCTTAATAGTAATAAGTGTTAGTTATTCTCACGCATTTACGGTACTTTCAAAATGTAACGGTTACATATGAACATATATTAGTGGCATGGTGTGGCATTTCGCTGATAGTTGTTTTTGTTGCTATAGAAATATTTATTAATATGTAGGTATATTGCATTGTTTGCTTTTGTTTTTGATTCCAAGTTCGTTAGTATGTTTTGGTAATTTATATATATATATATATTTTTTTTTTATTTACAATTGAGTATGCGTATGACGTGCGCAACTAATGTAGAGTTATTTGCGAATTTTTCTATACAATGAAGATGTGTTTATTCCTTGTTCTTCACATTCTTAAAACTATTTTAGGGTGCAGCTTTAGTTTATATAATATTAATAAGTGTATTTTATTTTTGTAAACAGTATTAACTACTATAGTGTGTGTGTATGTGTTTTTTTTTTTAGTTCAAAAGTGTATTTTTTGTTTTTCTTTTTACTTTTAGTAATCTAATTAAATTTACAACATATTAGTATTAGTTAATTTCAAAACGATGTCTTTCAAATAATGTCTATACTTAAACAGTTAGTGGTTTTCATCAAACGTTTATTGTTGTCATTAGTATGAGGAAGCTTCTCAATGTCAAGCCAGCTTACCATTACGCAGTGCGCGTGCGCAGTGACATTTTTTGTGTGTAAATTCGATGATGCCAATAAAATCCTTGTAAATATTATGCTCAGTGAGTACAATTTTTTGCACTAAATAGCTCAGCAACGATACGTATTTTGAGGTAAAAAAAAACAAACCAAACAAGAAAATATTTATTATTTTGCTATGATTTTGCATGTGTTTTGTTTATCTTGCAAATGCGTAGTTTTAGCTTTGCTTCAAGTTATTTTGCTGCGCATCTTTTCACTAATTTTGTGCATTAGCGTTAACAATTTTGAAAGTCCTTGTTTTTGTCATCACATTTCGCCTTTATGACTGGCCATTAGAAAAGCAGATTCGGCTGCGTCTGCGGTGGGCAACATAGGCTAAGGAGCGCGAGCAATTCCTCGCTTTCATTGCCATTGTTGATTGTTGCTAGCATGCTGTTAAGTAGCTGATTAAATTTATCCTATTCGGTTAGTTTACGTGATCTTTTCGCCGGAATGCACGAGTCATCCTCCAGCCGGAATTCTGCAATGCAACTCTTTCTACCATTCTCCATAGCTGCAATAACACCGGGTGAAGCCGAGGGGCCGGTTGCTAGATTCATGAGACCTGGCGAAGCTGCAGACGATGTGGAAGCACTATTATTGCTGATACTGGCGGAATTGTTGCTGTTTGTGTTGGCACTGCCATTGGTCATGTTTGAATTTGTCTTGCTGGCGAAGTTTGGCAACCATTTGGATAGTTGTTCCTCGAAAAAGTTCTCCAAATATTTTGCATTTGTGAATGTTTTTGAGTCCTCCTGTAGTAAAAGAAAATCCGTTATTTACAAGTTCACGCAAAAATATAAATAAACATTTGGCTTGTTGGAATAATCACGAAATACTTACTTGATAGAAGAGATAAGTATTTTTAAATATTAGACGCACATCTGATACAAAGCCAGCGATATCCTTATAATGATTTGGACTGGTCGGATCTAATCGTGTACGTATAACATCCAAAGACATGGGACTACAAAATGTGTGAGAGAAATTACTTTATGATTGCTTACAAGAATTGCGGCGCAGGTTGTGAAATCTTACTTGCAAATAATTTCATAGTAGGCTGTATTGGTAGGCGGCTCCGGCTCGCGAAAATGTAGACTCTGTTCGTACTGGCAATACAATTCGAGACAAATGCGTTGCATGATCTGCAGTTCCAGCCGACTTAATTCGCCCGGTGCTTTCTGTGTGTTGTCGGTGTTGTTAGCCAGCTCTTTGAGGTTCACGCACAATAGACATTGCCAACTTTCGCTTTCGTCCGGCAACGAACTGATGGCGGGTATGTGACAATTCTGATGGAATACTTTCGGGCACTTGTCGCAGCACATGAGCTCCCCACCGTCAAGGCAAACGGCACACCAATCTTCGTTCGGGTCGTCTTTTTGATCATTTTTAGTATTAACTAATTAGTTTTCAGTTTATTCGAGCAAGTTTATGAAATATTTTTGTATTTGTATGTATAAAGATGTTTTTTTTTTCATTTTTTTTTTTATTATTTGTTTGTTTTTGATTTTGGCATTAATGATTAGTATGCATTATTTAAAGAGACGGAAGTTTAATTCGGTTACGATACGATTTGATTCGATATGTTTGGAAAAGAAACAAACAAAGCAAAGTTACATGAAATTGTAGATTAAACCAGCATATTACGTATGAAAAATACACATATTGTAGATTTTCGACTAGTAATATACGAATAAACAACACTAAAAGCTGGAAAACTTTTCGATAGCTTGGAATTTATGTATGCAATGAAGTTAACTGTATAGTTTTGTTGTATGTGTGCCAATTAAAAGCAAGTTTTCCAGCAGCGCATAATATTTAAAATACGAATGAATTGAATGACGGGAAAACAAATGCAAAATTAAGTTTGTAATCGCATATGTAATCAATGAAATGATGACAAAACAAAATTTTGTTGTTTCAATATTGCTGAATCGAAATTAAATCAAGCTCATATTCGATTACAAACAAACATAAACATATACAACAGTAACACAATACTATATTTCTGCTTGGTAACAATTTGCTTACCTTCTTGAGTATTGGATAGGTCTGTTGAGCTGTGCACTTGCGGCGATGTGGTTTTGGTACGTCCCTCCGGCAGCACCTGAACACCATTCGAATCCAATTTGGCAATGGTAGCTATTAGATCGTTTATGGAATCATCACGGACCTTGTCAATCGGTTCAGTGAAATCTTTTGCGTTCTATATTTTGGAAAAAAATTAAGTATACAACAATTTTAGTATAGCACTGAGCAAAGCATCGGCGCAACTGTGTTGCGTGAGTGCTTAGATATGCAAATGATCCTACTGCCCACCTCGTTAGTGCTCGGGCTCGGCGTCTTTGGATTCGTTGATGTGACATTGGGTAAGATGGAAACAGCTGGTCCGAGCCCAAGCGAAGCTGCATGTAAGCTAGACGCACTATTGCTTTGCATACTATGTGCCGACGAGCTGCCATTTGGTGTGGTATTCTTTAGAGTATTTGGAGATTTTAAGGAAATTTTAAAGTTCTCTGTTTGACGGCCGTTGGCAAACTGCATTAGAGGACCTTGTTGTGGGCAAGCTAAGTAAAAAATAATACATTAGGATCGAATATATGCATACATTAATGTGCAAATATTGATGTACCGTTCGTCTGTTGCGCTGATTGAGGTATGTGCCATTTGGCCATGCTGTGCATGCTACTCAAGCTACTGTTCATTTGTGGCGCGGTTTGTGGCGGCCCGGGACTGAAGCCAGGCTGACTCCCATGAAACCCCAGGTTCTACAAAATATTATTTGAAATTTAGAAAATC